ACTTTACTTTCCAATTTGTATGATAGCAAGTGAGAACAGTTGGTTTATTACAAAATCAATGTCCTTAAACTTATTTAGTCAAGAGAAATACAATTTTTAGTAATTCCTGAAACCCCAATGAGCTGGCTTATGAAAAGGTTATATGTGGAGAAGACAATTTCTTGAAGGATAAACTTTGCCCAATTTTCAATGATCTTTTAATCAAAAATAAAACCATACACAGCCCTTAATATATAATCTATAGGTAAATACCAGATCAATATAGATAAAACCTTACAAGTCGTAAAAGATTTAGTCTGAAAAAAACAAACATCAAGAAGAAATTATTATAAGTAAAATTGCATGAAAGGAATATACTAAAAACTTAAATGAAAAGATTGTTTATATTGTAGGGTGGATAACCTTACTTTGAGTTCTTGTCAATAGTAATATGTATCAACTTTTTCTAATTTATTCCTCTCCATATTTGCTGAGCTATGATTTCCATAGCTGATTCACAGTTAAAAGACTTTTGAGTTGTCTTGTTCCATCAAGACGAAGATAAGATGAGCCCAGTAGGAATGTTAAGGCATACAGGTATTTAAAAAAACTGAGTCAATTTCTGCTTCCGAATGTACCTCTGTATTTAGAGTTTAAAAATCAACAATTAGTGTGATGTGAGGATTTAATATTTTTCACCACCAGATTGATAGCTATGGTTCTAAACTGCTTCCTGGGGGATTTTTTTTGGTGCTATTGCATAATCTCTACTCAATGTGTACACAATAATGCTTTTTTTTTTTTTTCCTGGAAGAGGAATCTATTTCATCAGTATTTGAAAAGCTATGCATGCTGCCTTGCTATGATGCAAAAGAAGCTTGAAGAGGTTGCATTGCATTCATTAAAATCTGGGATAAATTTCCTTTTCTGCCCAAAGTTGATGTGGAGGAAAAGTAATGACTTCGCAAGAAGAGGAAGCAAAAATGGGCTTTACACTCTGGGATGTTCTTTCAACTTCACAGTTGGTGGTGAGCATACAGCCCTACATTTCCTGGTGGTTCTCCATCCAAATATTAATGAGGCCCAAGGTCAGCTAGAAACCAATATTTCTCTTCAAACATATTTTGCAGATGTTGCCTTTGTTTCTTAACATAAGGCATGACAATAATTTTACACTGTATTCTAAGTATTTCCTCTACTGTCGAGAACAGGGTTTCTCAACTTGGCAACCTTAAGATGTGTGGATTTCAACTCCCAGAATTCCCTAGCCAGCACAATTTAGTATATCATCTGGCTTTCCATAGCAGAGAATAGCCTGAAATTGGCCAGGCTAGTAGAAACTTTCTGACACTACAGAAAGACAGCTTCCTAGTAGGGGATGAACACTATGCTAGGCACTATTTTGGTGGCCTAAGTTCAGATAATGTAGGTAGGAAGGAAAAGGATAAAACATAGAGCAAGATTTTTCTTACTTCCGACTCAACTGGATAGAAGAATAACTGGATAGAATAGAATAACTGGATAGAAGCATTCCTGTCAAACAGACAACAAATGGTCAAAATCGGGAACGCCCTATCAAATCCAGTACCTGTCAATAGTGGTGTTCCCCAAGGCAGTGTTCTAGGACCAACTCTCTTCATAATCTACATAAACGACCTTTGTGATCATATCAAGAGCAATTGCGTTCTCTTCGCTGATGATGTAAAGCTGTTCAATACCACAGACAATACTACTACCCTACAAAAAGACCTAGACTATGTATCTGAATGGTCTAACATATGGCAACTTCAAATCTCAACAAATAAATGCTCTGTCTTACATATTGGTAAAAAAAATCAGAAAATAAAATACAAGCTGAATAGTCAAGATCTTGTTGATGACCCAAGCTCTGTAAAGGACCTGGGAATACTCACCTCTAATGATCTAAGTGCTAGAGCCCACTGCAACTACATAGCCAAAAAGGCATTAAGAGTTGTTAACCTAATCCTACGTTGCTTTTTCTCTGGTAATATCTCACTACTAACCAGAGCATACAAAACATTTGCTAGACCAATACTCGAATACAGTTCATCAGTCTGGAATCCTTATTACGTATGTGATATTAACACAATTGAGAAAGTCCAGAAGTATTTCACAAGAAGAGTTCTCCACTCTTCTACTCGTTGTAGAATACCTTATGCCACCAGACTCGAAATTCTAAAACTAGAAAACCTTGAATTACGCCGTCTTCGGTCAGACTTAAGCATGGTATATAAAATCATACATTGCAATGTCCTACCTGTCAATGAATACTTCAGCTTTAACCATAACAACACAAGAGCACACAACAGATACAAACTCAAAGTAAACCGCACCAAACTTGATTGCAGGAAATACGACTTCAGCAATAGAGTGGTCAATGTCTGGAATACTCTACCCGACTCTGTAGTCTCTTCCCCAAACCCCAAAAACTTTAACCTTAGACTGTCTACTATTGACCTCACCCCTTTCCTAAGAGGTCTGTAGGGGGCGTGCATAAGCGCACCAACGTGCCTACCGTCCCTGTCCTATTGTTTCTCTTATTCTATTATTTTTCTTATATGTACCCATTTCATATATTCACAACTATGTATACACTTGTACTTATTATCTTGTAAACAATTGACAAATCAAATAAATAAATAAATAAATAAATTAATCTCAGTAAGAGGCTTTTCCCCTGGCAGGCCACCTGGGCAAAAGCTGGAGGTGTAAGTCAAACTGTAAGTCAGAAACAAAGTTGAAAAGGATCAATAAAATATACAGTATTTTTGCTTAGAAACACAAAGGGGGATATAAGCTGGCTTTGCCTTAATGCATCGTTTTACTAGAACACCAGAGGAAACAATTCTTGCAAATTTCCTCTACTCACCTGGCCTGTTAGCTTCTCTAGGGCTATTGTATGTAGGTGGCAAAGATGCAAGCAATCGCTATATATTTTTTGTAGTTCTAGATTTCCCACTGTTAAGGCTGTGCAAACTAATGAAAAGAGTACTTTGTTTTCAAGGGTACATATTTGCAAAGCACTATTTGGTATGTCAATGAAGATTCTCAGTCTTCCAAGGAGGGTTGCCTGAAAATTGAGTCCATGGCAATTGGACTTATTTTTGCTGATTTGAAACATTTGGCTGCTATCCAAGCAGCTTCCTTAGTTAAGGCAAGTTAGTTAGGCAAAGAGTCATTGGAATGTACCAATTCCTGCTGTACAAAACTCAGGGTTTATTCACCAACTGTGTGACAATATGTCAATGAAAATTCTTAATCATGGAGGTAGAGTTAGCTGAAAATTGAATTGTCTGGATTGGTGCTAGAGGAATTGTAGATTCTAATGACTCTCTGCCTAATCAGTTTGCTCAGACTGAGGAAGCTACTTGGATGAGCAGTGAAATGTTTCAGATCAACAAAAATAAGTCCAGTTGCTATGACTCATTTTTTCAGACACTCTTTGGAATATTATACAAAGTCACAGTCATTCAACACATTAAGCCCGACTTAGCCAGTTATGGTTTAGGAAACAATCTATCAAGGCTGGATTCACAATGTTTTAAAGAGTAAAGTGAGTTTGTAAATCATGCTTAGGTTTAAACAACATTGTGCCTTAGCATATGGTATGATTCTGTTCCCACTCTTAGTATATTGGATGTTCATTCCCAATTTTTGAGAAAAAGAATTCTTTTTCAAGACAGGTGTTTAAAAATGTGATGCTTACTATAGTTTGTTCATGTTATGCTAAATGAGGGTTCTGTGGTGTGTGAAAAGGGATATTATTAATGCTGTCCTTTAAGACAAAGGAAGTTTTGATTTAGGAGGCTACTGAGTCTGACAAAGAATTGTCATATCCAAACCACCTCCTTCCCTGGAGTTGGTTAAGCAGAAGCTGGATAACTTTCTCTTGGAGATGCTGCATTAATGGATTCCTGGATGGGGCAAGAGATTGGACTAGATGATCTACAAAGTTCTTTCCAAATTTTTTCAATGAAAATACTGAAGAAACATTGAGGTAGTTTTGAGGTAAAGCAAATAGAGGGAAACCTCACTGATTAAGAAAACCTTGTCTCTTTGTTTGTCAAACATGCAAGTCCATCTCCAATGTTTGTCAGCTTATGAGAAGTTGAGCCAAAGTTGTACAAAAATTCTTGGAAACTTGGGCTCAGCCTTTTTGGAAAAGGAGAATTAAAGAGAGAACATGACCATAGTTTGAAAACTCAGATGCAGCCAACTGGGCACAGTTTTGAAGAGAAAAATGGACTAGGAGGGAAAGCTTTAGGCAAACCACAAATGGCTTGTGTGTTAACAAAAACAAAATTTAAATGGGGCGGGGAAGAAAATGTTTTGGTAGCCCAGTTTGCTGAAAACATACTATTCCTAGAATTCTTTTGTGACAAGCTTTATTATACCCATATGGATTCAAGCTAGTGTACTGACAACCAACAAAATAAAAATAATAGCTTTTGAGCATGTATTCCATTATTCAAGTAGTGCTTATTTTTGAGAAGAGATCAGTACTGATTGTCTGGAAGCTGGAAACTAATGTAGAACAAAATGTAATAATACGGGACAGAAAGTATTTCTATCATTGTTAAACCCACCTATGGACATAATCGTGAACTTATTGGGCAAGTTTCTAGACTGTAGGTTATGAAATCCAAGAAATATTTAACAGCAGTTATTTTTCTTTGGAGAAATCTAGAACTAAGGCAACTACCATAGCTGGGCTGCAAAAGCTGGGAAGGCCCTAGATGGAGGTAAAGACATAAGAGTGTCCTTGGTGGGCCTTTTGATTTTGGAATCTGATTGGGAGTCTTCCTAATGAGTTGAGGTTAGAGCTGCTAGAATTCTCTCCCATATCTCTCATGTGAATAGGAACAATGCACACAAGAAACTTTCATGCAACCGACTGTCAGGAAAGTATAGAACAATTTGGATGGGCATGTTCTTAAAACACACCTTCAAGACCAATCTGCTTTGTTTTAATCCTTGTCATTTCCTCTGCTCCTCTTTAGAGCAAGCAGAGATTGAGCTCCCTCCCACCAACAACTTCAGCCCCTGCAACATCCATGACCGCAAATGCCTGCAGAAACAACAAGCAAGAGCACGGGAACGAATAAACATTGGTGTCAAGATGAGGAACCACGGGAGCCTCATGCTCCGGGAGGACATCCGGCCAGTGGTGAGGGGCTTTGGTCTTTCTTCAGAGAAAGGGGAATAGAAACCATATTTCACTGAATTAGGCTCTTCCCATTTGCTCTCACTTTTCCTCTTCATTTCCCAACATTTCAGATGCCTTCCAGATGTGTTAGAATTACAAGTATCAGAATTAGCCTGCCAGCACAGCCATGGGATTTCTAGAAATTTTAGACTGATGCGTTTGGAGGGTTGAGGACAATCTGATTAAGAACATGGATTTGAAACAAGAAGTATTTGTACTTCTGTTTCTGTTTTTTGCTACTTTATAAAATTGATTCCCAACATTCCTCAGTGTTGGTTATTGCTAGTCATTTAATCCAGTGCACCAACTGAACTTATGGAGGCTTCTCTGTTATGGTCAAAGTCCCCTTTTGAATATCTCACTATGCTTGACTAATCAAACTATAATGACTCATTAGCCACTTCCATTCCAGGGAGAGGTAAGCTGGTGAAATGAAAATGTTCAGCTAAGATGATACTCACGTTTACTCTGAGAAACATGGGATGCATTCACAGTTCCTGTTCCTGTGTTCTGACTGCAGTTCCTCCTATTATTTTGCCAACAGGTTCAAGGCTTGTGTCAGAATGAGCTTCAGAGAGCCCTAGAGAGACTAGCAGCTTCCCAAACCCGAACCCATGAGGACCTTTACCTCATTCCCATCCCTAACTGTGACCAAAATGGACATTTTCATCCCAAGCAGGTAACCCTGAAGCATGGGACAGCATGTGTAAACTTTTATTTTGTGGGGGCTACATTTTTTTTTGACCAAAAATTATCTTGACTTACAAGCAGATTTTTAATTCATTACAACTCAGAACTGCAACTCATATGTGTTTGCTTTATCTTATGGAACTCCAACAATGCATCAGCATAATTGAGAAACCTGAGAGCAAAAATAAACGTAGAAAGAGCAACAAACTTTCACTCTGTTCTCCAACTTGAATCTATGGGATGATGGAAAGTCCTTCTTGATGCTAATTATGATAATATAACAAACTGCTTACTGTTCTTATACCTCAAAAGTTGGGCAGGATATTGCAATATGTAATAAATAGCTTGTTCTGACTCTTGAGAACTAGCATGATGCCTAGCACCCAACCTAGCACCTTTCTGATATGACAGATTACAGAAGATGGAAAATTTTAGTGAGAACTTTCTGAAAATATATTCTTGGTATATTCAGTAAATAACTGTTATGATGGCCATAACTGGTCAGAGAACACATCAAGAAGCTGGTGAGGTGACTATTCATCATCCTGAAAGGTTCCCAACAGCTCCCTCTGCCATTCTATTTGCCTTTGCTTTGTGTGGAGTTGGTGGCACAGTTCCAGATAACACACCTTTAAAGTAGTTCTGGACCTCTGTATTCCCATAGTATCAGTAATGTTGAAGAACTGAACTGATTTATTTCCAGTTCAGCTGTGGTATAGTTGACAGTTTTTGCTTTTTTGAGATCCTGTAGCTGTATTTTGCCATTTTCTTCATCCCAACTCTGGGGTTTTGGATTCTATATAAGGGAAATGCTAATTTGATGATATTTCAGTAGCACAAATAAAATTAACAGAGGAGAAACAACTGGCATATAAACAACCAAGGTACCCAACAAATCCAGACCACCTCAAATAGCTACACTTGGTGATAGTATTGAGGCTGAGCCTAGGCCTCAATTTCAGCGTTAGAGCCTAGGCCTCAATTTCAGCCTTAGAGCCACCATATCACCACTGTTACTCAAAAAGGCCGATTTTTGCCATTTCCCATTCTTCAATAGCCTTGGAGGATGGTATAATATCCCTTATGGCCCAGTGCTCCCCAGGTTCTGCTGTGTACCGCTTATTTTTAAACAGTGTTCTCTTTTTGTTGACTGGCCCCTGTGGCCTACTTGGTTGCATCAGGTCTTTGATCTTGAAGCAGGTTTGGAGAAGGTTCTCCCACAGCCTCAACCTTCAAAAACTGTGTAAAAGTACTCCCCATTCTTACACAATTTTCAGAGGCTCTGGAGGCCATGCAAGAGCACTGTCCTTTTGTATGACTTCTGGATGGTTTGGAGGCTGCAGGAAAGCACATCCCATTTTCATGCAGCCTCTGCTATCTTCAAAAATTGTATGAGAATGGGGTGTGCTTTTGAGATTAGTTCTTGGATATTAGTGAACACTGGTGTATCACCCACAATGTCATGGTGTATCATAGATTCGTTACATCAAACTGGTTCTCATGTAATGAGTCCAATATTTTCTAGCCTTCCCCCCTCCCTTGTTTATACTTCCAACATAAATTTAATGTACCTTTATACATTCTAGACAATTTTTGGTGACCTATACCAACTGTTGTATAAAAATTCTGTTTAAGACATAATACAATGTACATTTCAATTCTTTCAACACACATTTTCCCACTATTCTATTTGCATATTGTAACAAAAATAAGAGCCATTTTATCATGTATCATTTCACTTGTTCTTCTGTTTCAAATTTCAGTAGAAATTTATACATTTTAGCAATAATATGTTCATTTGTAAATGGATCTGTTTTCAAATTCAATCTTACAATGCTCAAAACCAAAAGTTTTTTTTAATCTAAATATTTCTATAAATGTATATAAGAAAACCATTGACTAGTACGGTATATCCTATTTATATAAAAATGGTATAGGATGCAAGTAAAGTTTTCATAAAAGATTATTTTATAAAACATAATACTAAACTCAAAAAGAAGAACCAAGATACACAGGGCCTTTTTGCATGATAAAATAATTTTAAAAATGTGCAGAGAAGACAAACATTTCTCATCAAATTAAACATTTATTACAATAGTTATTAATGTAAATGAAATGTAAAAATAAACTACCAGTATGTAAACAGAAAAAATCAGTTTACAAATAAATTGGGGAAAGGCTAGAGTACAAATTAAGAAAACAAAGATACTGAAACTTCAAGAGAGAAATATTGTATTAATGGATAATGGGGCTATACAAAAAGATGGAACAACTGAAGTTTGTGTTGCCTTGGCTATGGGTACAATGAAGGCAATGTGACAAGGATATGATGTCAAAAATAATTAGGAGCAGAGGAATATAAGAATGAGTTTTAAGTAAGATTATATCATTTTTCATAATTATGTAAATTAATCTTCTATCTTTCTCCTTTAGTGTCACCCAGCTTTAGATGGGCAACGAGGGAAATGTTGGTGTGTGGATCGGAAGACAGGGGTTAAATTGTCAGGAAGTCTGGAAGTGAAGGAAGATTTGGATTGCCACCAGCCTGTAGAAGGAGTGGAAGAGTGACCAGGCTGATAAGTGGACAATAAGACTTGCCTTGACAATCTGCCAAGGGAACTTGTTGTACTTAGTGTTTGATAAGTAGATGCAATGTAAACTGGGAGTTACCACAATGCCTTTTTTTTCCCCTGAGGGGGAATAATAGCAGTAATGGCTGCTTTTCTCCTCAAAATAACTGCATTAATCTAAGCACAATGTGGCTTAGTCTCTTTTCTGTTTAACTGGGTAGCTATTTGCATCCATGGATCATTCTTCATTGACAATGGGAACTGTATTCCATGTGAATGACCATTGATGACAAAAAGCCCCACTGGCTTTAATCTTGAGTACCTCAGTAAGTCTTTTGAGAGTTTCCTCTGAGTAGACCTGCTCTTGTTTTTGGTGTAAACTGTTAGGGAACTTGCTCTTCTTCCACCGAGAAAGGGAAAAAGAAAAGCAGGGGACAAACTTCTTTCCCCCCACTTTTCATAAAAGTCCACTAAAACCCAGGCTGGTTCAGTAGTGCCTAGACTTCTTCCATCCTAATATACTTTATCTTCTCAATACAAGGGATAAATTACATCTAGGATGAGAAAAAGTATGCTTATTTGAAAGGCTTCATTTTCTAGCCATGATGCACTGGTTTTCATTGCCACGGCTTAGTCTTGAAACACATTAAACACATTTTGTTCTTGAACAAAATCCTCTAATTTATATTGACCAAACAAACTTTTCTCAATCCCATGTTTCACCAACAGGACATCAGAGTTTCACTTTGAATTTGGGTTGTTGTTTCCAGGCATAATTTCTATTTTTGCTTTAATTTAAATGAACTTAAATTGTTAATTCATATTCCAAATAGGGATACAGGGATACAATTACAAAAAACTCAAATCATAATATGTAATAATTAAAATCATGCTTCTACATTCATATATTTTTTAAAAAAATAAAAAAAAAGATAGCTGGCATAATCTAGCTGATATTCTACCCTTGCTTGGTAATTAACTATTCAGTTTATTTTCAAGCAGAGTAAGATAATCTTTGGTGCATAGGATAGTATCTCCGAAATCTAGAAAAATGATATTCTAATCTAGGGCATTTGGTAATAATAATAATGGCTTCCAATTTGTAGTATTAGTGAGAAGAGAACTTTTAGAAATTGGCATGGGAGCTGGATTTAGCAACAGTTTCAAGGATTGTGCTTTAGCTTATCTGACTAAAATAAGGGTGTGGGAGGGAAATCCTAAAAATGGGTCTATATATTTATTTAATTTACATTGGAGGTAGGATTCAGATTCACCCGATATAGCTATTTGCTTTCTTTTCTCTTCCTGTTAAATGTAGAGTAATTATAGCCCTGGTATGAAGAGATGTACCCCACCCAGGAGTACTTTCAATCTGGAAACAAAAGTGAAAATGTTTAAAGCACCCAAGACTGAATTTGTCCATTCTAGAGTCCAATCCCATTTATATTAATAAAACAAGGCTACTTTTCTTCTAGCATCTTTTTTTATTTCTAATTAAAGAGCAATAAAATTAATGCCATCAGGCAATCTTGCTGTAGAACAAGGAACCTCTTCCCCAAATGAAATGTTTCTCATTAGCAAGTAGAGTTTGCAACATTGGGGAGGGGGGAGATAAGAAACTCCCAGCCTCCTTGCTGGAACTTCATAAAAATCTTCAGTTTGGGCTGCCAAAATTTGTTGGCAAAACCATTAATTTTCTATGGGGCAGTTTCTCACATTTTGCCTTTAAAAGGACAAATAGATCTCGATGAGGTGCAAAGTAATTCATTTTCTTTTTAAAAAAATATATCCCTCAGATTAGGATGTTCTTCCTAACTATAAATATATATGTTGATCTAACTTTCAGATAAACAAATTGTCAAGAAGGAGACTGTGAAGCATGTTTTCAGAACATGGGCAGCACTAACTTTTGATGAAGTCCATCACCTTTCAAGAGTGTAAGAACTCATTCCACATTACAACAGCCATGGGATGTTGCTCTTTCAAGTGGAGAAATCTTTGCTTGGACCTTGTTGCCCTTATTAATGACTGGTTTTAGAAAGGGAACAGTTTTAATAAGGAACTGAAACTGTCAGCTGCAGCCTTTCTTCCTGAAATGACATTATTCTAAATGTAGGTTCTTTTTTTAGAATGTGCTAAGACAATAATATATCAAAAGACAGAAACAAAAACATGATGCATGAACAATAAAAAGGGAGGAAAGGACAAACAGCAAAGGAATATTAAAAAGGGGAGGGAACCCAAAATAATTAATAACATGAGGAAAACAAACATATGGTTGAACCTTATCTCAATTAATCTATAAACAACAACTATCTCCAATAAACCTGTCAACTTGATATCTAACAGAGCTAACTAGGGAAAGAGGAATAAATAGCATATCATCAACTATTTCCAAATCCAGGCTGCTTGTGTTGATTAAAACAGTGTTTGGGGGTTTTTTGTTGTACGGCAAGCTCTTAATTGGCTTTAGGGTGTTTATTATGTGGATTTGGGGAACCTAATCTTTTCTGGAAAATGAAAGGGAGAGTAGATTCCGATCTATTGAATCTGAATCTGGCTACAATCCACTGTTAGAAGTTTTGGATTTCAGTTTAATTCCTTTACGGCAAGTGATAATTGCTTGATCCCTTCTGGTCTATTGCAGTCCTTTAGTAGTGCAACTCCAGGAATTTCATAGTCATTTTCAAGTTTTTGGACTTCTATTTTCATAATTTTCAGCAGCATCTGGTGAGTACCAATCTGGGAAAAACTGTAACTCCAAACATAACTGATTGGTGAAACACAGCATTTATCAAGGATGAAAACAAATAAACTTTCATATTCAGTGGTCCATAATAGTGGCATATTAGTTATTGCTAACTAACTTAATATTGCCTGTGATATTATATAGAGCTACACGTTATGGCCTGTGCCTTCCTAATGGTGTGAGCAATTTTGTAACATCTTCAGGTTGCTCCAACGTTTATGGCACTGTTCTTCAATCTTGGCAACTTAAAGATATTGAACTTCAACTCTCATAATTCCCCTTCACCATAATAAGTGATTCAATTGTGGAAATTAGAAGTTGTCACAATTTCCCTATTTTTCCCCCTGAGGCTGCAGAGACAGTTTTCTCTATTTGAAAAAGAGTTGTTACATTTCTTTGAGGGAAGAGTAACAGTTTTGTAGGTTTTCCTGCCTCAAAATGGCATGACCAGTTTGTGATAGCTATGGTGCAAGGGGGATCGGTGGATCACAAAAGAAGATGGGAGCCTCAGGTTGCCTATTTCTTTATTGCTTTTGTGTAGCCACAGTGCATTTTTTAAACTGCAGTTATCTGAGAGCCAAGTCCACTGAATTCAGTGGAACTAATATTTGAATAGCTATCCATCCTATTTCATATTTGCTACATCAAACATAGCATCTTTCAGCAGAATCCCATACAATGCTCAGCAATTACACTTCTAAGTAACAAAAATGAAGAAGTGAAGGTTAATTTTTGTTGAGAGGAGATATTCTCTCAGTGCCAGAAACTAAAGCTGTGTAACCTTCAAACACGATTCAGTTTGAAAATTAAGTCAACTCTTAAAATAGCAGCAATTTTAATAGTTGATCTCTTTCACAGATTATTTGAGAAGTGCAGAATTTAAAATCCCATGGAGTCCAGATACAGTCTTATTAAATGCCTTTTATTTCATATCTGGGAACATACGACATCTTCACACAACTCATGTAATCCAGTCAAACCTGGTAGTATTGTATACTTCTATATCACGCCTCTCTTCATCCTATCAGGCTTTTGCATACAATAAGAGCTGTGATTATTTGCTAATATATTGGTTGCAATATTTTTGTTTGCTGTGAATGTTATTGCTCTTAATTCTATTTTTTTTAAAAAACAAACTTTTCAAATGATACAGTTGTTTATATCACTTAATTTGAATATTTCTGGGAAAAAAACTATTTATAAATGGTAAAAATAAAAGAAAAAATAAACCAAAAATATCCAGAGTGGTATTTTTTACATTTATATTTCCAGCTTTCTTTTTCACTGGGGATGATAAATATTCCATGTGTTCCAGATAATCTTGGCAACTTTAACAATTTTAACAGATCTCAATTTGCCAAGTTTGAAAAACACTGAGATAATCCAATACAAAGGAAGAGAATCATCATAAACAGTAAGAAAAATAGGCATTTAAAGTTCTTGATTGCTACCCCCCTATACCCACATGTACACCAATATCAATTTGAGCAAAGAATATTCAAGTCAAACTATATCTTACGTGAAAGTATAAGCAATGTCTTTTTCCTCCTTTTTCTTCAAAAGAAACAGAGGTGTTTCTTACACCTTTAACCTGAAATGGTTCCAAAGTAAGAAAGAAACAGACAGACCTAAACGAAATGCAGTTTATTAAATGCACTATTTGCAATTAAAAGAAAAACAAAAACTATAAAATAACCTTGAGATTTCAGCAGGCATGGAGAAGGAATTTAAATATTTGCTCCCTTGTTGTTTTGCCCTTCTGAGACATATCTAAGGGCAAATTTTTTTTACAGTGCAAATACCTCTTTAGAAGAATTGTTTTCTTCAAAGGATTATAACATCTTCTTTCCAATAACAAAATTCCAATAAGCAACTGTTTCTTCTTTTTCCTCTGGCATGTAGTTTTTTATATTTTAAAGTGAACAATCTTACATATTAGAACCAGAAGCATGTAGCCTTACATGAAAGTAGAGTGTAATAGATTTATTCAGGCATAATTATATGAAGGAGTTCTCGGCAGCTCTAGACTAATGCACTTCTGTCTTTTTTCTTTATTCGTATACAATTATGATAGATCCTTGTTTATACAATCAATGTTGCATCTGATTAACTATGCTATAGTTGGTCCTTGCTTTGTTTCAAGATTTGTTGAAAGTAAAAATGAAAAGAGAATCACCAAAGAAAGGGGAGGAGGACAATGTAGGAACCCAAAGATACAAATTGTTCTTTAAATCAATGAACATGGTGGTACTGAAAAAATGGCTGGCATTCTCCCCTCAAACTCATTCTTTCCTAACTAAATTTCCACTTCAGGGATCAGAAGAAATAAAACAAAAGAAAACAAAAAAGACATCCCATGTCCCATCCATCATTTCCTAAATGTGGATTAATTAAGTAGCAATAAACACAAAGCCATGCATTCTTGATGTTGAAGAGAAGAAGGGAAAAGAGTTCAGGTGGATGTGATCATTGTAATTAGAGACAAACCAAATTCCAAAACTGCATTTCTAGCCTGATGCATATAATCAATTAAAGGGCAGAGCATTGGAAGTATTTTCTAGAAGGTGGGACTTCATTCAGACCAATATTAACCCAGTCAGAGTATAAAGATACAAGCTGAAAAGACCGAACACATCTTTTCAACCAAGATCTTTTATTTCTCAGATTATCGATCAACCTCAAACTCTGAAATGATAGGAAGCAGTGAATTCAAGCTGCAAATTCTACAAGATTATTCCCTGCTGCCAGGCTCCTATGCCAATAAACAATATTTCACATTTATATAGCACTGTCAACAATTCAAAGCAGTTCATGTATATTAAGGACTTTTGAATCACTGTAAGCTTCCTTGACTGAAGAAAGCTGACGTTAGATCTAAAGCAGGAATGTGGAACTATAGCCTCTTTCATGACTTGTAGACTTCAATTCCCAAAATTCCTGAGCCAGTCATGTTGAAGCCCACAAGTTATCTCTGATGTAGAGCATGGTATGATTTATTGACATGGTTATTGCTGCTGCCATTTATAGTTATATAAAAGAAAAACTGTGCTTTTCCCATTACTACTTGTAATCCTTGAGTGCAAGAAATCACTCAAAAGTCTCTATTCTAAAACAATGTTTCTTAAACTTCTTAAGCTTTTGTTTGTGTAGGTTGTATGGATCAATATTTATCTATAAAATATCCCAAAGTTTTCTCTGGAGCAATTCCTAAATCCTATTTAAGCTCAATTTCCTCTATTTAGGCTCAATTTCTAAAAAAAAAAAAAAGAATGATTAAAAAATCATGAGTCCATCTCCAATCCTTTCTCACCCAAACATAAATAAATCTAATATAACCCAATCCAGCATTCAGATTATATTATTTTCTTCTCCAAAGAGTAGGAAATGCAGAATGCTTATTTGCGGATGGAAATTTCCTTTGGGAAGAGAGTCTTGAAATCTTATCATAATTTTGAAAATATAATTGAAATTGCACATGGGACTTCCTACAATAAAGAGTGTCTATATTTTGCAGTACAATATTAGCAGAATGCAAGTATAATTAAGACAAGCAATGTGGAAGCTAATTGTATAAGACTTTAATGAGGGAAATCACAGATTGGACTAAGTTCTCTCTCAGTCTAATCTATCCTACAGGGTAGCTAAAAAATTAAATTGAATTATTTCTTTGATTAACTGGCAGAGGAAGATTCTCATTATGCTGCTCTGAGTTGTAACTTCTATTTAACAGTTCAACATGCAAAAGATAATTTCCCTATTTTTGTGTATTATATATTCTTTATGTATTCTTCCCAATTTATGTAGAGCTGACATCAGTGAAGGAAAGGGATTTAATTTTTTTCCTCCTATTGCTTCTATTATTTAGAAAAAAATATAAATATATGTGTTATTTTCCACCATAAGACAAATAAATACGAATATGACTCTAAAAGCACTATTGTAGTATTGGCTGGGAAATTATGAGATTTGAAATCCTCACCCCAATAAAGTTGAGAAACATTGCATTATGATGTTGTGCTTAGGCTAAACTGATTTATTTACTCAACATCTTAGAATCACTTTAGAGGAGAAGTGGGCAGCATATGTAAATAGCAATTACTTATAAGTCACTTAGACTAATAGACTGCCCCATAGTGCTTTATAGCAGCGGTTGCCAACTGGTGGGCCATGAGAAAATTTTGGTGGGCCGCAGCATGCTGAGGCGGGGAGGCGGGGCAATCCTGTAGTCTCCCGTGTCGTGGCTGCTGCCTCCTGCCTCAGCACATCAAGGAGGCCGAGCAGCAGCGGGAAGAGCATGGATCTCCTGAGCTGCAGGAAGCAGCTGCCCTCAGGTGAAGATGTTGCAAGCGGGAGGCTCAACCCCCTCTTCCTCCTCTCCAGAAGCACTCAGTGGGAAAGAGGCGGCTTGTCGGAGGCCAGAGGGGCAGTGAGCGCTTTGAACTTGAGCACTTCTGTCAAGGAGGAAGAGAAGCTTTTGGTGGGGTTGCAGGAGATCGTGCTCTCCCCTTGCAGGCCAGGAAACACCCAGGAAGAGCTCCGATGCCGCGATCTCTCACGCCCCTGCCCTCAGGAGCTTCTCTTCCTCCTTGACAGAAGCCCTCACATTGTCAGCCTGAAGAAGGCTTGTTGGGGGCCAGAGGGGGAGGGGTGAGTGCTTTGCGCATGAGTGTTTCTGTTGAGGAGGAAGAGAAGCTTCGGGGGGGGGTGAGCCTCCCCCTTGCAACATCTTCCCTTAAGGGCATCGCTGGCAGCCTCTCAATCTCCTCGATGCATGGAGGCAGCAGGCAGGAAGTGACACCAATTCAGAGGATTCTTTCCCCTCACCCCCACCCCCTCGCAGGCCAGACCTATGCCATGATGAGTCCATCCGCCTGTTGCCCCACCTTCCTGACAGCCATCTGGTCTTCAGCACGTGGCTCGTCAGCCCAGAGTGGAGGTTGCCCGCTGTGCTGAACTGTGCATGCCCGCGCCCATGCTTGCTGCTTTTCCCAGCAGGGGGAAACGACCCCTCTTGGCTTGGACTCTGGGTTTGTGACTGGTATGTTTTAACTGGGACCAGGATGACTTTGCTTTGCCCGCGGGATCACCGTGGCACTGCAGCTGCCAGCTCCTTTCTCCACACGCCAAGTCTTACCATGGGAAAGAGAGCAGCTGGGGTATCAGTGTAGCTGCTCGGTTAGTTCGTAATCGCCCTACCTGGAGAAGGAGGTGCTGGAGGGGGAGGAGGCAGTAGTGGAGAAGCAAGCCAGGTGTTAAAGACTCAGGGTGGGGGGGGAGGCTTCCAGCCCAGACCTCTTTCCCTCCCCCAACTCCAGGCAGCCACACCTGGCAAAGGAGGGAGAGGTTTCCTCTGATTTGGGGGAGATATGAAATTTGAGTGGAGGGGCTCTGCTTTTCTTGTAATATATATATTTGTTATAATTAAATAAGCATTTTTATATTTAAATATATATATTTATATATTAAAGAATTAATTTTTTAAATAGTACATTTACATTTAATATAAAAATAAAAAATTTATATTAAATATATTATCTTTTTTTTAAAAAAATCATATTAGTGGTCTTCCGGATTTAAAAGTATGAGTTTGGTGGTCCCTGAGGTCCAAAAGGTTGGAGGCCCTTGCTTTATAGCACTCTCTAAATGGTTTATTGTGTCAGCATAGTACTCCTAACAATTTGGGTCCTCATTTTACTGACCTCGGAAGGATCGAAGTCTGAAGGATCAAATTCCTGTAAATTTAAATGAAATACATTCTTCTTTGAAGAACCTGAAAAAATATTCAAATTTGGGTTCCCAAGCTTTACATCCAATTCCTTAGTTCACAGATTTGGTTCTCTATGATAGTTCCAGATGGCTCTTGTTGCATTCCC